AAAAAAAAAAAAAAAAAAAAAAAAAAAAAAAAAAAAAAAAAAAAAAAAAAAAAAAAAAAAAAAAAAAAAAAAAAAAAAAAAAAAATAGAAACAAAAAATTTACATGTACAGAGTATAATGTATCATGAAAAGGAAGAGAGAAAGGGGAAAAGTCAGAGTATAATAATCAACGACAAAAACAAAGGTTCACACTGGGACGGACGGAGATGCTAGGAAACGAGGAGACAATATTACAATTACAATTAAAATTACAGTTACACACAATGTTTCAAAGTAGCGATAGTGATGATGCTAGGATTAATAATAAATCGGTATCCCGATGCGGGACAAATCGGCATCGTGGCTCACGCTCACGGCTTCTTGTACGGTTTCTCGTCCTCCTGATACCAGTCCTCGCTGCAAAGAAAAAAATAAACAAATAAATAAATTAAAACTATAATGACTACTGAAGTGAAAAAAAAAAAAAAAAAGAAACTCACCATCCGGGAACATTTTTCGGGTCGTCGCACTGCTGGGTGCGATCGTTGTAGACGGTGCCCTCGTTGCAGCCCTGCTCGCGAGGCGTCACGCCGTTCAGGCAGACGTAAAATTTCCGACAGTCCTCGGGATGGGCGAACTTGGGGTGATCGACGGTTTGGCCGTGGCTGTTGAGCTCAGCGTCCTTCGGGCACTCAAAGCCGTCCATGAGTTTTTTGTCCACCGCACCGCAGCCCTGCGAGTGACATTGGAGTGAAAAACGAGAAAGTATAAGGCGACATGCCCATTTCACTTTACCACCATCGTGATTTCAAACTTGTACTTTTGTTTTTCCTACAAGGCATACGTGTGTATAAAATAGTGACACTCGGGTGTGTAAGTTATACGTGTGCTGCACGTCCAAAGGGAATGCAGACCGGTATACCGATTGCCGATTTTCGAGAATTATCGCATGCATTATTCATGGCTGCGTCGCTTTCGAAAATTACGCGACTTCCCCTTCCCTTCTTTCATTGTCTCGAGGTGAACGTGGTCCTGTTTGGCAAAATATATGATACGACAAAGTAGATTGACGCGTGTATATATGTTTTTTTGGGGCTGGGCTGAATTTGCATTTCATGCGGGTGATTTTATTTTATTTTTGTGTATTTCTTAGGCGTCCAAAGATGAAACCACTTATTATACTACCACTTACATTGTAATAAAACATTAAAAGTGACATCTCGGTGAATTTGACTATTATCTTAATAAAAAATAAACTTCTTATAATTTTGGACTGAGAAAAACAATGAAATGTCCGAAAAGTCGGAAAAACCCCAATAAAGGACGAAAAATAGTGAGAAGTAAAAGTGAAGGATCGATGTACAAATTATTTTAAATTTGTAAAAAAAAAAAATAAGCGTCCTCGTGTACCTATACTTGATGACGATATTTCCTACATGATGTGCCTTTGTACAAGTTGATCTACAGTCGCAAATTTGAATCTACTGGTACGTATGAAATATATTAAATGTATGGAGGAGGGAAAAAAAAAAATAAATAAAATACACTACCTGTCGTCCCGCGCTCTCGGGCCACACGCACGTCCCCGAGTATTCATCAAAGTGCAAGCCCGTGGTGCAGATAACTTCTACGGCCTCTCCATCGATGCAGTTGTAGAACACATTGCAAACCGCGGGCTCGGGATGCGCAAAGAACCCATTCTTCCTCGGACACTTCTTCGTCGGCTGGGGTGGCTCTGCGCAACGCCGTTATCAAAAATCCATTATGTATTACGCATAATAAGCGCGCGCACGCGTAAGTAGTGGACGCGAGTTGTGCAACAAAGTGATTGGCGTTTGTAAAGCTCGTTGCCGACTTACGTAGCTCGAGACGCTCGCCGCAGTCAACGTTGAAGACGTGGTCGCACTTGTTGACTTTCCGGATCTGCGGGTCGAAAACTAGACCGTCCGGGCAGTACTTCTCGATCGGCAGGCCATCGATGCACTCGTAGTACTTGTCGCACTGGCGCGAATCCTCGAACTGCCCGTCGTCCTTTGGACAGTTGAATGCACCGTCTGTCGCGCATAAAGTTACTTTTTTTACAAAAATTCATATCGAATGAGCACATCTGCTTATTATCGATTCCAGCGTTGGGCGTACACATTTTTCTACTCCGCGTGCTTCCAGTAGAAACTGGAGGTTTTTTTCTTCCATCGCTCCAACACTTATGTTTCCTCTTTCCGCATTTTAGGGAAGCGAAGTAGTGTTATTTAACCATATACGTTTATAGTATGGATACGTTACTCGCATATATATATACCGGTAATGACGTTTCTATTAAAATTTATGAGTTGCATGTACAATAATTTATTTTTATTTTTTTTCTTCGTCGTCGGTGAAAATAACATGTTAATGACGAGAGCTTTCGTTGAATACATATGCATATACGTGAAACGTTGACTTCGCGGTCGCCTCACTTTCACTCGCGAGAGCGAAAGTAATCGATACATCCCGTTAATAAATTATCGAACGCGGAGAATTTGGTTTTATGATATTTTCGTACGATCCTTGGTGATTTTGAAACTGCTGCATAGCAGCTAACATAATTTTCGTGACTTTTTAAACAAGTAATCCAAATAAAGAGTGATGATTGAAGATGGAAAAACAAAAATTACACGGGAACCCTTGAGTTGAAAAAAAAAAAAAAAAAAAGATCCATCGTCCGCTTCTTCCTTTCGAGAGACAACGATGTTACCCTACGCGCATCCAATTTGGCATAATAAACCCAAAGGGTGACGTGAGACCCATGAATTTCTCATGCCTCGTTGGGCTTTCGATTTTTTCAAAGCGACATCGGCAGCAGCTGTTGTCGCCGTTAGCGCGAAATTGTTTGACGTAACCCCCGTGCATACATGAGTTTCGGCCGCGCCTGGACGGGAGAAGCCCGTTTTGACATTTACTTGTACGTACGCTTTAGAAAGTTTACTGGGCGAGCCCCCCCCCCCTTCCAGCTCGATCGTGCGTGCGTACGTGGCTTTTTTTTTTTTTTTTTTTTTTTTTCAAAGATCGGTAACGATCGAAGAGAGAAATTCGTGAAAATTAAAAATCGTACGCTTTTCGATCAATTCGTTGCGGGGAAAGTTACTGTTGCGAAATTAAATTCAAAAAAGTATATCCTCTGGGCGGGATTTTTTCCTGCCAATCCCTCAAATGGACGAAAAGTGCCATCGGTGAACCCGTTTATTCTCGTTTCTAACTAATTATCCCGAGAGAACGCGGAAAACAACGACTCGCGGGCCGGGCAATTAAGACAAACGGGTCCTTACGTGCTCGCGATTGCGGCTAATGATGCCTATGAACGGCCTATTACGCAAAGGTGCGTTTTCGCGCCATACGTATGTTAAGTGTGTACACACGTAAGAGGGAGGGGGTGAGGAAAAAAGGGTCGTTGACTCGAGATTCCGACGCGCTCGCGTTACATATACACTTATACGTGGATTGGCGAAATTTCCTTTCTCCGTCCGGATTCGTGCAACCGTGTATACGTATGTGGGGGGGCCGCGGTTCGACAACTCTCGTACATTATGTGTACTTTATAACTTGGTCGATTTCGATCGATACTTTCGAAGTTGGGTGTAAGTACAGGTATACGCGATTGGGATACATGAGAGTGCCGACTGACATTGTTATTTGACGTTTTGTCATAATAGTGCAAACTGACGAGCAATGATTTCGATTATTGAAAAACATACGTGTCGGGTAGCTTTTATGATTTTCGTGGTGCTTGCACGAGAGATTTTTAACGCGTTACCGGAACGAAATGCCGGTTTTTCTTTTTCGTTATTAAATAGTTTTAAAAACTATAAAAGGGTTATTTTAAATTGGAAACAAGGACTGTTTCAACATATCAAATAATGTACGGAAGAATAATTTGTGTGAGAAAAAAAATTAATAATAACAATGATGATAAATTCTTCAAATGTTTTGGTAGAAATGACTGAGTAAAAAAACTTGTTACATGTTTCGGTAGAAAAAAAGTCAAGTCCCAGATCGCGATGTATAAATTAATATATAATAATTCGTGATTCCTGAAAGTACGTGTTTGAAAGAAGAAAAAATACTCACGTGCAATTGCGACGATGGCCACAAGGCAAAACACGGAAAAGCGAGCTTTGGTCATCTTATGTCCGTACAACAGTATTCAAAAACAAAAAAAAAAAAAAAAAAAAAAAAAAAAAAAAATAGAAAAAAAAAGATTTTTAAAGAAAAACCACCGAGACTGTGTCCACTGGAGTATCAGCTCCGTCGGGTCTTTGGTTGTGCTTCCCGAGATGTACGGAGTAGAAGTAAGCGATACAATGGTACCACCAAGTCTTCCCCAAACTGCAGTCGAGGACAGTCCGCCGGCTGGTGTATACCTTGTCATCTCCCCACCTCCTCCACCTGGTCCTTTCCCAGTCTCTCCTTCGACTTTTCCCCACTTTCGGACTTACCCACGCACACACCGTAAATATTGGCTCCATCAGTGTACCACCCTCCCGATCGCTCTTCCTTCTCCTCCTCCTCCTCGCGCCTTGCTTGCACACGTATACGTGGATAGCAGAATCACCCCTTTTTTTATACAGATTGACGAACCGATCCAAGTTTCTTTTGCATTTTCACTTGTGTGAGGGCTTGCAGACGCCTCGGGAAATCCAGTCGAGGAAACGTTTCCGGGACTCGGAGCGCACAAGTGTCATAGGTATATATTGTATGTACATTTTTTTTTTTTTTTTTCACCGGAGCGTTTTTTGTGGCCCTAAGTATAGTTTTTAAAATATTTTTTTGGGACAAACTTACGTGTGTTTGGTACGTTGTGTGACTTTTGATGAGGCAAATATTGATTTACCGCAAAGAAGGTTTGTTGAGAAAAAGGGTGGAATATAAAAAGCCATCCTTTTGAATCGTTCGGACGCCACTTTTTTTTTTACATGCCGTTTACACGATGTACAAAAAATGAAGCATCATTAAAATCATGTACCAACGGGTGTGAGTCGTTGAAGCTTCTGATGTCTCAAAAAATTGTGTTTTTGATCAACTTTTAAAGTTACTAAAAAGAAGTCGTTTAAATATTATACTTCAATGTGCAGAAAAAGAAAGTATTCCAAATAAATGTTGGTCTAATTTACAAAGACAATAAATCTACGAATATTTTTTTTTCTTGTGGATCGGCATGATATTTATCAGTAGATAACGTTTTCGAGAGTCTATATTATCCAATAGAAGCCTGTAAGTAAATAAAAAAATACCATCACTATTTCACAGTGCTATTACTTACTCGTACAGTATCGGAAAAGCGACGGTAAAAACAACTTTTACTTTTCACAAACTTTATTTCCATCGTACTTTTCTTTTCCATACATTTTACCATCTTTAGTGTCGCTTTCGGATTGATTTGTGTAGTATTTTCAATAATCGTTCATTACGTATGTACTTTTCAATTGTAGATGAGTAAGCTGGCAGCACTTAATATCACATTTAATTTTTTTTTTCAAGTCATTTTTATTGGACAGTCGATGGGTTTGTACAACATGTGATCATTCTGCATTAAAATAATGTTATAAATTTTTGCAATTCCATGAAAACGCACAGCATTTTCTAGGAATGTATACAACCTTATACAATCATTGACTAACAAATGTGGAACAATTAGTGCGTAAACAAAGTAATGATAATAATTAAGTATAAATTAACGCATGACATGACACAGACGTGATACTGCTCTTATGTGTCTGTATATGTATAAAAAAAAAAAAAAAAAAAAAAGGTTTTTATTACAATTGTACACCTTCTTAAGAACATGAAACGAAAGAGGTAATGGAAACTTCAGTCTTTGCACCTCTTAACCCCGCGATCGCGTCGATATCCAGCCGTTGTTCAATAAGGTTGAAGTATAGGACAAGATGGATTTCTCGCTTCAAACTCAAAGTTGAGAGTGACAAAAAAAAAAAAAAAAAAAAAAAATGCCTAATCTTCGGAAGCTTCTTCTTCCTCTTCTTCTGTCTTGGGCTCAGGTCCGCGTTTCGATCCCTTCCTCCTCGAGCCGCTCGTCTTTGGCTTCGGTGGATTCTCAAGAGCATCGAGCTCCGCGTCCGTCAAAGTGTCCTTGTACCAGTCCTTGCTGTAAACGAACAATGTAATGATAACAATCGGTTGAGCGAAAAGAAAACAAAGAGCCTCTCACCACTCGGGAATCTTGCGGGCCCAGTCGCACTTGCCGGTCTTCTCGTCGAAGGCCTGGCCGAGCTTGCACCCACTGCGCCTGGGCGTCTTGCCGTTTATACAGACGTAAAAGTACTGGCAGTCCTCGGCGTCGGGATACCGGGGATGGGTGGCTGCCACCGACTCGTCGACGCTGGGACAGGTAAAGTTGAACAGCTCCCGCGAGCCGCAGCCCTTCTTTTGGGCCTCGTCCGGCCACGTGCATATACCCGTCATGGGACTAAACACCAGACCCTCGGGGCACTTTATCATGTTGAACATGCCCTCGACGCAGTAGTAAAAGGTGTTGCAGTTGGTCGGGTCCTTGTGCGCGAAGTAGCCGTGCAATCGCGGACAGTGGGGCATTGGCCGTGGCGTCTCTGTTTCAATTCGTTGTCATTGGTTTTTTTTTTTTTTTTTTTTCTTTCTATACAATATCACACCAAGTATGTAACACAACGAGTGGACAAACTGGTGGACTTACGGAGCTTCGGGCGCTTCGAGCAGTCGATTCCAAAGGGTAGGTCGCACTTTTCGTGCTGTGGACTGAAGTCGTTGAAGACCAGACCGTCGGAGCAGAGTTTTTCGGTGGGCTTGCCGTCCCTGCAGTCGTAGTACTTGTCGCACTGCTCAGAGTCCGGGAAGTAGCCATTGGGCTCGGGGCACAAGTCCGACGACTCCTCCTCCTCCTCCTCCTCGGACGCGGTCGAGTCCTCGACACTTGGTGATTGGTGTTTCTGTTGCGTCTGGTGTTTCCTGACGGTGTACAGGGGCTGCGAGACTTTGCGCCGGTTTATCTCGGCCGCCTCCTCCTTGCGACTCAGTGCCGACGCTGCACCTGCTGTGGTTTTATTTTGTTTATTTTTTGTTAACTTACACAACTGCGATTGGTCGTTCAATCGAGACTCACATCGATTACATATATTTTGTCTTGTCGAGTAAGAAATTTTTTTTTTTTTTTTCTTTTTTCTATAATTTTGATACCACAAATTCAGGAATGTTGAACTTCATAGTATAGCTCGTTGATATCTCGGTAATATTTAAATAAAAACCAAAGGTGCGACTCTTTGAACGTGACGATTAGTGACCCTTGAAACAATGTTGCATCTGCAGGTACAACATTTATATGGACAGCGATTGCCGATCGGTCACAATTCGGTCCGATCGGGTATAGCCACCATTACCAAGGAAAACGGCAGAAAGTAGTGGATAAAAATAATTCTGAGTCAATGCCATCATCGTCGCAGGGGTATACCTATGGAGACAAAAAAAAAAAAAAAGGAAACTCGAAAAGAACCAGAGCTCCTCTCTGAGCGTCTCTCCAAAGCCGAAGACCTGCCGCGACCTCGACATCGTACGATCGACAACGGCGACCTCGACGACGCGAAGGAAAGAAAGCACCTCTCGCTGGCTCGCCCGTTCCCGATGAAAAACACAATATTGTTGAAAGAAAGAAAAAAATCTCGCCGCTCCAAGACCGGTTGCTCGGAAGAGGGGGCGCCATCGGTACTTATTTGTTACGCGATGTATCTCTGTCAGCTCAACTGGACAAAGATATTTCACGTACAATATCGATTTGTGGTCTTAATACTTGATAAATATGTACAATTACCATGCAAATTGTACGCTTTTTCCCATACATTTTTAAATCTGTTACTTTACTCGTTAGGCAATAATCGACAGCTCGACATGGCGCAATGTCACACATAATAAGTTTTCCAAAATTCTCCATATTATACATATACATTCTGATATTCGACATCGGTATGGGCACGTTTAAATTATTCAAGTTGCGCGCTCGTGATAGAACGAAAAAAAAAAAACATTTTAAAATTCACTATACCAACTTCTATTTCGTGGGCATAAGCATACTAGTTTTCGAGACGAGAGATACTGTCAGTTCCAATTTCTAACGGAAGAACAAAACAAATGAAAGTTATACTCACGCGAGATGCACAAACTTTCACGTTAACGATACTTTTTTTTTTTTTTCTTTATTTTTTCCAAATACATTTCCAATCCAGTCAAATCAAGACTTTCCCCTTTTATTATCAGTCCATACCATTTATATATGCACAAGAGATGGCAATCATTTCACTTTGAACATGCAAAATGCGAGAGAGTGCAAGTGGCTCTTCTACAGAGTTTTTTGTTTTTTAAACTACTACTAAGTATATTATTGTCTGTTTGAACACTACTATAGGTAATTCCATATACCAGTACCAATAATAATACCAATAATAAGTGCACGGATGGTCCCCGTCAATGTATGCAGACACATCTCGATTGTGAAAGAGCAATCGTGTTCTCCTCTGAATTACACTAATAAAAAACACTCGTAAAAAAAAAAAAAAAAAAAAAAAAAAAAAAAAAATGTTCTAGACTTACCGATCGCGAATAGGCAGCAAAGGACGATTTCGCTCCTCATAATGACTTTTCACTTTTTGTACTGTGCAATGGAAGCCAAAGGGAGAAGGGAAAAATAAAATGCAAATTGAAGAGGAGAGCAGGGTGTGGGTGGGGACAGCGGTGTGCGTATGTATACACGAGCAGAGTAGAAAGTTGTCTTGCACACGCGCGCGCGTGCCCGCACACACACACACACGCACACGCGCAGGAAAGGCGCAACAATGAGAGTATAGGAGAGAAAGGGGAGAGAAAGGAGCGCTACGTCGATTCCCTGTGGGGCCCACAACTGACTGTTTGAACGGGACCTCGTGGGGACCTCTCTTTATATGCGTCCCCACTCATAGGGGGGACGACCCCGGCAACTGCTGCCCCGCCAAACATACAGGTATACACCTATGGCGAGCGCAGGTAAAAGAGTGTGGTCGCATAGTAGTAGTAACAGACAGAAACGAACAGACGACCTCGCATCTCTCGTATACATATATGTGTTTTTTTTTTTTTTTATATTATAGTGTACTGACCTACTATGGGTATATGTACGCTGTCTTTATTCATTCAACATTTACATTGTCTTTTAACATGTCGTTTTTCATCGTATCATTATACATTTCTCTCATTTTCGTTTGTCATTACATTTTCGTTCTTTATTATTCGCATATCATATCTTTTTTATCTCCCCGGTCACGTAGGACCGGTTATCAAGAGCTCGTCACAATTCTTTATTTTTCAATCGCTTTTTTATTTTTCTGTTCATCTTAAAAACTAAATCTTTATCCTAAGTCGGTTTCATGTATTCGATACCCGGCAAGAACCATCAGAAAAAATCTGAGTACCCTCTGACCGGGAATCTAACCCGCGACCCCTTGAGCTGTGTTGTTTCGGTGGCTAGCATGCTAACCACTGAGCCAACGACGAGCTCACATATATATGTAACCATAATATAATACAGGGTATGTATATATATATACTTACAATACAGATATGCAATCTATTTATGTACGGTACGTAACATTACAATGTGGTGGTATTGGTTACATACCGATCTTCTTCCTTTTCTTTTTCTTCTATGTTGCAGAGGACAGTTATCCGTTATAAAAGACGTTTGTTGGTCAGCCGGCTCGATTCCTTGCGGTTATTTTGAGCTGTTTGTTGTGTCTGCCAATGCAGGTAATTTTTTTTCAAATCAGTTAAAGATGTTTCGAAGCTGAGCTTGCGAGTGTGTATAGGCATTGTACGTTACTTTTTTTTTTGTTTTTCGTTTAAAAGAAAAGATTGTCAACGCGCTAAACAGGTTTTTCTTTAGTTTGAGGAATTTTTGTTCGATGATCGGACGTGTTTTTTGTGCCTTACCAAATATCGGAATGATTCTACTTGGTTCGAGAGCGAGATTAGATGCATTTATTTAAATAATAACGCGTGATACCGCACGAGTATTTCTGTTTTTTTTTAAAAAATGGCGATAAATGTAGCAAATTTACAATAAAAAATAAAATAATAAAAAAGCTGGATCATATCTCTTGCAACGTATCAAAAAAAAAAAAAAAAAAAAAGTTATCAGCACCAATCGACGCTATTACAAAAAATAATAATTTGTAAATTTTTCGTACGTCGTTACGGGGGTAGGAAAGGAATTCGCGTAGGTGGATTTCTATACATAGAATCTAACAGCATGTTTATAACGTGGACGAGCGAGTTTTGCTCGCGAATCTTTAAACCGATGCATTGTTTTGTTTCATTTTTGCAAAAATTTACGGTGCATTCCTGATTCGCTTGTCTCCAAAGGATAAATAATGAGTTTTTGGATACTTTGGACGGCGATAAATAAAAAAAAGACTCCACATCGACAGTTGCGAGCAAAAAAAAAGCTAGTCTGGAATTTCGAGGAAAAATACTCCCGGCAAGAGAGTATAAATTTTGTTCCTACTTCTGCAATGTTATTTATCATAGCGACTCGAATACACGAACGTACATTGCGATCGAAACACCGCGCACGAGCTTTATCGCGTTACCGATAAAATTAAAGAAAAGAGAGAGAAAAAAAGCGCAGATAAGGACCTGCACCACTTTTGTCTTTTACAGCCAAGTTACGAGCTCAGACGCGCTGAACGTAGCGATGCGCGCCCATCAGCGATAACACGCACAAGCCAGGGTTTGTTGCTCTTGGTTTTGTTACATTCTTTCGAGCTCCTCAGTTTGGCGCTGCACTTTGCTTGGCTTTCATCCGAAATGACGGTATTCGCAATGAACCACGTCGTCTTTGCAGAAAACATTAAATAACTCTGCAATAAAAGGACCCTTTCACCCGTGCAATTTTCTAGTTTTTTCCGCGAATTTTCATTCATCGCGATTGTCCGTGCAGGTGCAATGCAGTCGAGATTACGTTACGCGTACAGAGGTCTGGTCGTCCCGGTGTTTACGCCCTTCAAAAACGACAGGTACTAATTAATTGCACATGTAGATTCATCCATAAGTTTTTTTGCCAAGTGATTTCTACTGATGTACGTTTGCCTTCGATCGATAAAAGCAAAAGGACCGTCAATGCTAGCCTGATACCGCGGTATTCCGATTACCTGAGATCCAAATCGATAACCGGTGTACTAGGTAAGTCACCAAAATTGTGTAATACACCTGAATTATCATCATCATCATCATCATCGCCACATTGTTATTTGAAATATAGTATAAGAGTGTTGTATTGTTCACAGTAAATGGCACAACAGGCGAGGGAATGACAATGACGGTAGGCGAGAGAAAAAAGGTAGCGGAGGCCTGGTCAGCAGCTGCCAAGATCAACGACCAACACCTTGTAGTTCAGATCGGGGGTACCAATCTAGCTGACGTTAAAGATCTCGTAGGTGTAATAATGGTCCTTTTTTTTTTTTTTTTTTTTTTTTTTTGTAAATAACGCCATTTAACGAAACAACGAGGAGTGACTTGGTGGAAAATTTTAGGCGAGTCACGCCGAATCTTTGGGTGTGAGTGCCATTTTGAGTTTACCGGAATTGTACTACAAGCCCAGCTCCGTGGATCAATTGTTCGATTACTTGACCGAGATAAGTGACGCGGCACCCAAAACTCCCCTGCTCTACTATCACTTTCCCAACATGTCCAAAGTATCGAGTACGCGAGTCGAATTTTTTTAATTTTCTTTCGTTTTATTTCATATTTTCAATTGCCATCCACGTTACCTCACCCTTTTCCAGTACACATGGGCAGATTTTTGGAATCTATTGGCGACAGGATACCAACCCTGGTGGGCATCAAATTCACAAGTACAAATCTGGAGGAAGCTTCGCACGCCGTTCAAGCCGACAATCGACGCTTCACCATCTTCCTCGGCAGCAACGAGGTACCATATACGTACATACAATGTTGATCCACACAAAGTAGGTGGGGCTTTGAATATATTCGCGGGTATTATATTTTCAGATAATACCTGCAGCGAGTGTCGTGGGAATCGAATCGTTCATGCCGAGCACTGCCAATTTGTTTCCAGAGCTCGTTCGGGCCATTATCGAGCACAGCAGGGATGGCGACTACAAGAACGCGAAAGCGAAGCAGGAGACGCTGTTGCAGGTCTTCAAGGGTCTAGCTCGGCTGGGTAAATTTTACCAATGAGTTTTTCACCCGCGCGTGTTTTTACCTTTCGTTTCAACCAAGGAAAATTAAATTTTTTTTGTTTTTTCCCAGGTAACCCTATAGTGTGTATGAAAGCAGCCATGGCCCAGTTGAGTCCCATTGAAGTTGGACCGTCGCGAGAACCACTGGGGGCCATTAACGAACTCGGCCAAAATCAAATTAACAGTTTGTTGCACAAGTTCAAGTCCGCAAACTTTTAGGAAAACTCACTTTGTATTTCATGTATACCCATGTGACTTTTATATTGTTCAATAATTAAGATTTGTTATTCACAAGTTTTTCGAGTTTCAATGGTCATGTATGTATATATTTTTAAACCATTGGCGAAACCTTGAATTTTAATCGTTACATCGGAGCTGTTAGCATCATTTTTGTCTTATCCGACACCGCGTCGATAACGATACGTTATTGTAGTATATACACGTGGATACAGTTTTTCTCTGACCAACTTACGGAAATGTAGTTTTTCATCGTTCATTTTAGCAAGAGTGCCATGTATTTACAAATAAAATGAATTAACGATATTTGTACATTAAATAACTACACAACTCCAATGAAACTATTAAAAAGCTATACAAAATGATAATAATGATAACAATAAGTGTTTTCATAGTCAGTTGATAAAAAGTTGTGTTAAATCTTATCGAGTTGATAGCCGGCACGCGCGTGTGAGTATGACAATTACTGACTGGCACAGAGTGAAGCTAGATCAGCTCTATAATATATATACCTAGTCTGCTCGTGACCATCGTGTAACGAGCACAATTGCCGATACCATCTGACTTTGAATTGTTATTGGCACAAAAATCAAGGGTTCGCGATGCCGGTGAGTTTTTCCATAAACATATATACATTATTCAAATAAGTTTAGTACATTACAAAACATGTGTTTGTAGAAATTCGATTTCAAGGGTGTTATAGCCACTGCTTTTACGCCATTCAACGACGACGAGTTAAGGCGAATTTCACGATAAATTTGCACATTTTTTTTTTCTTTCTTTTTTTCCACCATCATGATACATTAAATCCTCTATCCGTTTTCAGAAACCGAAGCTTGAACTTGTCGGTTATTCCTCAAATCGCCGAGTATTTTCGAAAATCTTCTTTCGGCTGCGTCTTGAGTATAATTTTCACAAGTTCTTCCCCTCCCCCCCTCAAACCACAAAGACAACTAATTGTCATTTAATCCTCCCGGTGTCACGTAGTCAATGGAACTTACGGCGAAGGGATGGCCATGACCGTCGACGAAAGAATGAAAGTAGCGGACGCTTGGTCGGAGGCCGTTGGGCAAGCAACCGTTGGACGCAACAAGCAGCAACTGATGATCCAAGTCGGCGGGACGAATCTGCAGGACGTGAAGAGACTCGTAATTATCAATTGTTGTTTACGGAGGGGGGGGGGGAAAGTAAATGAATAAAAATGAAAAATCGAACATAGGCCGAACACGCGCAAAGTATCAAGGCGGAGGCTCTGCTATGCCTGCCCGAGCTTTACTACAAGCCGAAGACCGTGGCCGAGCTGATCGATTACTTGAAGGAGGTCGGGGAAGCTGCGCCGGACACGCCGCTCTTCTACTACCATTCCCCGTTGGCTACGGGCGTCGCGCGTGAGATACAACATTATTGCGACGTCTATCTTTGATTAAAAAAAAAAAATAATAATAATAACAAGGTGGCATTAACATTTTTTTTTTTTTTTTTTCTCATTTTCCAGTGGCGATGGACGAGGTCTTTTTCACGCTCTGCAAGGATCGAATACCCTCGTTTGCCGGGGTTAAATTTGCCATCGCGCACTTGGACGATTTGTTAAGAGCTGTACGCAGCGCTGGCGACCGGTTCAAAGTCATCGTGGCCAGTAATCACGTGAGCGCCGTTTTTTAATTTATTTTTGATACAAATAAATACGCACTTTTTCTTGAACATGAAAAATCCGATTATTGTTTCGAGCAGAATTTGCCCGCGTACGTCCAAATGGGGATAGATACGTTCATGCCAACCGCTGTGAGTGTTCGTCCAACGACTGTGATGAAGATTTACGAAGCAGCTGCAAGCGGACGCTACCGCGAGGCTCAAGAGTTGCAGAAGCCGTGGTCGGATTTCGTGGATTCGATAGCGGCATTGAACAATGGTGATTTGATTTTTTTTTTTTTCCATCTTACATGTACTCCTCACAACGGCATTGTTTCTCATCGTGCCATACTTTGCAGGTAATGCCGCTCCACCTATGAAAGCGATGGCAGCTCGTTCGTCGAATATTATTTTGGGGCCTCCAAGGAAGCCTTTGAAATCTTTCGAGACACCAGAAGGACTGGCTCAGATCACTGACTTACTCATGAAAATGGATTCTCAATTTCAACTGCACCAAGTTTCATATTGTTAACACATCAATATTGTTGTTTATTTCTTTACTAATGTGTTTCTCTACATTAAACGTTTTACTATTCTTCTTTAAATTTATTTAAATCTGGAAAAGATTTGAAAGATTCAGGCAGATGACATATCATAAGTAAGTCCTCAATCATGAATTTTTAACAAATTTTTATTTTTTAAGTTACTGTCAGCTAAATCTGGTTTGTCTTTCATGAAATGTAATTTGAAACATGATGGTGGTAAAGATTTTTAAGATTTATATTTTTGTTTGTCCACAAATCTGCCTGTGCATGTAGAAATCAATACTTTTTTTTCTTAAATACGAATATTAAGTATTATTGACTATATTTGAAAAAATAGGAATTTAAAAGATGTTGAGGCTATTTGATGTAAGGTTTTATTTTTTGTTTAATTATGAAAATACAGTTTAAATTCTTCAGTCGTTTATCTTAAATGATATAAATATTGCAATCACAAAAAATATTTACATCTTTTCATCCAAGTTTACAGCAGTTAGAAAATTCTGTTCAAATAACAAAATTAATTTGTACTTGCTCTGACTGTTTACAAAAATATCACATGGTTGTACTTGACTGCAAGCTGACTTGACAATAAAAATCTTTTAAATATACTCTGAGCATTAATTACTTAGTACATACAGATACATCTTGATAATGCAATATGTCTTAAAGACTTGTTTTCTCTATGTTAACAAAGATTTACTTAGATTTTGAAGATGCAGCAATTGGATACTTGACTCGTATCGATAGTAACAAAATTGGCCAGTTGAATGTTACAATTCCCAATAAGATATTGAACTCTTTTTCTCCCACAAATGCATAGAGAATATAGAAAGAAATCACAGCTGCCACTGCTATATTGAAACTTTCAAACTTGATGGCAAGACACAGGGCAGACAGCAACGTGCAAAGCATAATTATCAATAATCTTAATTTTCTGTGCTGTTTGATACCTTTACCAAATCCAGGAAGTATTGCTGACAAGTAACCTGAAGATTCGATTCGTACTCTGCCAAATTTCATCCATGCCATGAATACGATGCTAAATGCAAGTAGTATTGACAATGCTGTGAACACGTGGACAGCCAGGAAGGTGATTATCAAGTCGACAGCTATCACATAAACGCTTGGATTGGAAACTATTTTCATCCACAACTGCTTGTCACCACTATTGACTTCGTTGGATACTGCGTAATATTCGTCGATTAGTGCCCAAAAGATGGGCACGTATCCCAAACTTTTCCTGACTACGTCGCAGAGATAAAATTCTGTAAACGAGAAATTTAGTATCCCCAGGACACTTTTAAAAATTGAGTATCCCATGTCCGTTGATAGTTTGACACGACTGAGTTTCACTGAATCGTACGGAAAAGCGTTAAAATAAAAGAAAACTGTACTTATTAACAATACGACACCGGGATGGGATACGAGTGTAGATAAGTACCGGGCCAATTTTGTAACTGTAAATCGTTAACGACGTTAGAAGTTATAAGTAACGTCAACAAAGTAATTTGAGAATTTGAGTCATTTGCATCATAAACTGTCGTCAGCGCCATCTAGCGTTGTGATTTTCGGCACACATCCATCTAGGGGAAATCATCTTGAGAAAAAACCCCTAGGTTTTAGTACTATATATATTCGACCTAGGGTCTTCCGCAAGAAGGAAATCACTATATACAGAGATCGTACTGTCGGTACTGATGAATTAACACGGGCCCTGCCGTACCGACGATCAGCTTACCTGTAAAAGGTATCTTTCCTACACATTGTCGGCCGTCGGTACGGCAGAATTCTCTTAATACAGCGCCATCTAGCGTTGCGATTAAAATAAAGTCACGGGACGAAGACAGTAAGACACTAGATCGAATATATATAGCACTAAAATCTAGGGTTTTTTCTCAAGATGATTTCCCCTAGACGGATGTGTGCCGAAAATCACGACGCTAGATGGCGCTGACAACAAGAAATAACATAGATTCGAGCTAGATCTAGTGGGAAAAGCTGGGAAGTGGGTATAACTTTTTGCTCACGGTACGACGGTATACCGGTACTATACTGTTACCAGAAGAGCTACTCAAGTATACTCAAAGGGCAACATATAGTTGGAAGAAGGAATTAATAAGCAACAGTAGAGCAAAAGGTCGGTCGACTAGTCGTCTTCATCGTCTGTCTCTCGGCGTCAGCACAGCAGCGCCAGTTGGATACCGGGATCGTCAGCTAGGCGTCGTGCAACAGCAGATCTGATAAATAAAAGTAAATATATACATATACATATAATTTCCGACCGAGAAAAGTGACGCCTGCAGAGAGACGCGCGTACCTACCAGGAAGGCACAGCAGCATCGGCCTCTCCTCGAGCGGTCAATCGTGTACCGCGTTCAACAGTTAGTCGCATCCTCGAGCGGCAACTGGCTAGGTACAACATATTTTATACATCCATTATATATATCATCGTAGCAGCACAGCAGCAGCCATAATAGGTAGTGGTGTGCGCGGTACGGTGTATCCATTACAGGCGGCGTCGCTCTCGTTTTCGATAACGATCTCGGATAAGTACAACATATATATCTGCTCGCCGGGAAAACGAGACTCCTGCTGCAAGACGTCATCATCGGCGCCCGAGGGTGTCTACTCGTGGTACTTTTCCTCGTGTTCACATGGGTGTGTAAGAGATACGCGCGAGCGGCGCCATTTGCTCCTAAGAGAAGCAAGAAAGAGAGGGAAAGCAGTAGCCGGACAGCGTCGAAGGGTCTCTCTCTCTTCCTCTGTCGAGTGTCGACGCTGTCGACATCGTCGTCGTCATCACGAACACGAAGGCAAAGCGTAAGTAGATAAAGCAGAGGACAGCCGTACCGACCGATCGCCCGGCGTCTTGCGGTCTCGCCGCGCTTTCTTTCCTCTTCTCTCTTCCTTTTTAGAGCTGTGTGCGCTCATCGCCCATACCGTAACTGTATAGTATACACTTGCTTGACTGTTATTCTTATTATTGTGCTGGCCCAACAGTTTGAGACGAAACATTAAAAGCGCACCAGGAGTGAGAAGCTGAAAAAATGGAGAACAGGCCGGCCCCGTTGAGATCGAGGCGGGTGTGTAGATTCTGCCTGACGGATACCGAGCCGCTCAACTTCATCTACGACCGCGAGCTCAGCAAGCCCTCTAATGTCCCGCTCGCCCTGCAGATCATGTCCTGCGTCGGCATCGAGGTAATTATAACTCAGTTTTGTGCGACACATTCGCTCATCCATCTCGAACATTTTTTTTTCGTGCAATGATGTTCTTTTGGAGGGTACGATCACGGTTTTTTGGGTTACAATATATTAGGTTATAACATAGCTCGATAACTTGGCGCCCAAGAAATCGTAATTTCACCATTTTGGAGTCTCGGAATGTTTACGTGGTTGTTGTTGCGTTGAGAAACTGCTTTACGCTTTTGGAGCAAATAATTTGCTTAATAAATCACATAAATCTTAGATATATATTTTTCTTTTATTATATGGCTTACCTTTAACTGCATCACAAATAATCACCTCACTATCACCTGCTGCAATAGTGAATAAATAAATTATGGAATTAAATAGGTAGTTGGAGTCAAAAGCATCAAAATGAAGAAAAAACATACTTTTATTTTTTAGTTGTGGATGAGTTGAATCGCTTCCAATTGAAACATATTGACCAACGTTTGAGTCTGTCAGCACAGGTATATTTAACTGTTTTGGTTCAGTTTGCTCCATAGGCACTACTTTTGATGTTTGTGGAACTGGTTGTAAGTCATTTAAAATTTTTACAGCTCCGTTATAGGACACTATGAAAAAAAAACTTATGCCCTATTTATAAAATAATAAACTAATTGAGTGCATGTGCTTATGCATACCTGAATGTCCAACGACGATGCACTTATGTGTACTCCACGACTCTGGAACTGGTGCTCTGCTTTTTATTATATCATTAATTAGTCTAATATTCTCTGAAGCATATGGAGGGTTCAAGTACTTGACAGTACAGAGATTTTTAGAATTATCACAGACAGTATGACTAACAGGCGCAACAAAAAGCTTGTCATTTATTTCAATGAATTGCGAATTTTGTATTTTCATAAACAAATAATCTTTTGGCGAAATTCTGACTTCCACTTGAAAAATAGTACACAATAATGTCATCTGTATTTAATTTTTAAACTTTAATCTTACAAGTGAGTGTCACGTACAGTATGGAACATACTACGTGGGGTGGGCTTCAGCTATTAGTATTAGGAAGGAGCACAAGTGGGGGAAGAGAGAGCATAAANCTTGTTATTATTATAATTTTTTTTTTTTTTTTTTTTTTTTCTAATCAGCATTAGCTGATAATTTTAATTCCATTCCACGAAAGCAATCGTTGACTTGAACAAATTTATCAGCATTAATCAAGACAATTAACATACCTACTCCAAGAGTCGCTTGAGAGAATGGCTCTTTGGATAAAGTAGGTTGTTACCTTTTTTAACAGAACTGTGACATGTACTTGTTACAGTTGTTACTCGTAAGAATAAATAAGTCAATATGTTGTATCATTTTCTCTTGATGCAACAATTTTTGTCGTTTAAAAAGCCTAATCGTTTAGGAAATCTGAAATTTAATAATGATCTAAATGGTGAATTGTTTCAACTTTTAGGTGTACTCTGCAGATGGAATGCCACAAATGATTTGTTTGCACTGTCGTGGCAATTTGGACAGATCTTATAAGTTCAAGCAGCAATGCAAAAAGGCAGATGAAGCCCTACGTGCCTATCCCATATCGGGAGTTCTTCCACGACCGTTTCCACTACTATCCTCCGATTCATCTGAGGGTACTGCCAAGAGAAAGATAGAGATAAGGAGTCCCAATGATCCTAAAAAGCCTCGGTTGGACAATGGCGACAGAGACAGACGAGAAAATGTTCTTGCTGGTTTGTTAAAGTTTATCTTCCAAAGAACAAAATTGACCAAACAATGCAATTTAACTTTATTGTGAATCTTATTGACCTCAGGTCAACGACAGGAAGATATGCGTGCGGAAAAACAGCTGCGCGAAAAAGAGGAACTTCAACAGCGCCACGAGTATTACGAGGAACCGGAGGACATGGTTTACGAGGGTGAACACGATGCTAACGCTAAAGATGATGATGACGAGTCAAAGCTCGAACCTGGCGAGATCCGCGTGCATGCTTGTAATCAGTGCGAACGCACTTTTCCTCTGCTCCAATCGCTTCAGCTTCACATGGAACGAGCTCACGGACGGGATCGTGAATACAAGTGCACTGAGTGCGATCGTTCCTTTTACTCCAAGTATGACCTGACCAAGCACATGACAACTCATAACGAGGAAAAACCCTATTCGTGTCAAATTTGCAACAGGCAGTTTTCGCGAGCGAATCTACTCGCACGTCACGAAAAGATTCATCAGGAAGAGTTGAAGTACTCTTGCGTCCATTGTGATCGCTCTTTCTTCACTCGGGAGGATCTTGATAAGCATGAGGAAAACATGCACACCGCTGTTAAGCCTTACCAGTGCAACATCTGCAACAAGCAATTTACTTACAAACAAAGTAATTTCATATTAAATAATTCAGTTTTTAAATTTTTTCAACAACTAAAAGTAGAAAAAACTGAATCGATCCTTTTCTTTTTCAGGTCTTGAGCGACACGAAATGCTGCATAGCGAGGATAAGTCGTTTGTGTGCGAGTACTGCAAAGAGGCTTTCCGCACAAGCACCAAGCTCGCTCGTCACTTGACCACTCATGCTGGACATCGTCCGTATTTGTGCAAGCTATGCCCCCGCTCGTTCCTTCTTTCGCACCACTTGACGCGTCACATGCGCAGTCATTTAGTCGAAAAGCGACACCAGTGCGAGGACTGCGGCAAGGCTTTCAAGCGCAAAGAGAGCCTCGAAGTTCATCAACTTACGCACATCAAGCGGCCAGGTATGGGCTTGATATGCAATGTTTGCAAGGAGTCATGTCGTAATAGGGCCGACTACGTTACTCACATCAAACAACACATCGAGGCGGGTGAAAAGATGGGACCCGACGGATTGCCCCCAGAGAACAAGGAAAAGCTCGCGGATACCGAAGAAGAGGAGGAAGAAGAAGAAGAAGAACAGTACTCTGATGATGACGACGACGACTACGAGCCACCCTCGTCTTATGTGTATCAGGCTAAAAAAATGCAAAGAGGAGTGAATAAGTCAAAGACTGCTGAAGATGAAGAAGAAGAGACACTGGATCAGGATGAGGAGAATAAGAAGGAGCAAATTGTTTATGTGAGAGGCAAAGATGGCAACGTTGTGAAGAAAACGATAAAAACCCTAATGCCGATACAGCGTCGATCAGAGCCAGCAGAAGCTGTAAAGCCGAAATCTGCCTCTACTCCTCAAGTCATAAGCACGAAGCAAATAAAGGAAGAAGGTCTGTCTCAGCAAAAGGGCAGAGTGGATGAGACCGAAGCTCAGGTGCAGAAAATTGTTGCTTCCGTCTTCAAGGAGCACAAGATACCGCTCAAGAACCAAAGTGCTGAGCAGATCAAAGAATCGCAACAAGTTAAGCAAGTAACCATGCCAACTGTCATGAAAGAAGAAAAAATAGATTCATCCTCGGCATCCACTTCTCAAAATACCGTCAAGGTGATTAAGAGAATTATAGTTAAACGGCCTGCTGGATCAGACATGTCGGGTGCTATTACAGGTCCCATTCGCGATTTTATTCAAGAACCAACAACTCCAACTACTTCTCCACAACAGTCCGTGGCTACCCCGTCTACATCCGGCACTAAGGTATTAATTGTATTTCATGCCTTTTTTATGGATTTTCCATTTGTATATATATATATATAAAATCACTCAACAACTTTCTTTTTTTAATTTTTTTTTAGTCAACGAAACGGTACATCCTGCGTAGAATAATCCGTCAAGGCAACATGGAGCGTGAGGTAATCATGCACGCTGACGGTACACCTGTGGATCCTGCCGAGCTAGCAAAATTACCCGCTGCAAATGTAGTGAAACGCCTCGTAATGAAAAAGCCAGTAGGGAAGAATCAAAACATTGATGATTTATTGCTTGAATCTCCGGACACGAAACAATTATTAAAACTGGTTGAGAGTCAAGATAACGCTGCGAAATCAGTGCCCACTCCTATGACTCCGATTCGCCGAGTTGAGCAGCAGCCGCAAGTAAAACAAGTGCAAGTACAGCAACAGAAACAGATGCAACAGCAGCAAAAACAACCGCCTCATCAACAGCAACAAACGCAGCAGAAACAGCAGCAACAACAACTACAGCAGCAACAACAACCACAACAATCGCGGCAACAATCTCAACAACAACGGCCAAAAGTAAGTTGAGCAACATAATTTGGTTGTTTGAATAATATTGAATAGTTAATTAAAAACATACGTTGAACATTCAAGGAAACAAGTGGAAACAGCGATCAATCAAAAGAGAGGATCGAAGCGTTGGAGAAAGCACTGAAGCAACGTGATTCAAAAATCGCAGAACTCGAAGCGCAAAATCAGCAACATGCTCAACAGCACGAGTACGATGCTGACGAGATGTTGCCGGAGCGAAACGATGATGACGATGATGACGAGCAGGCGCTACCATTGAAGCGTGTCTTTGTCAAGCGCAAGCAGTGCATTTACGATGAGGAGCGCGAGTATAATGATGACGCGTCCTATCGTAAAGAAGGCGCTGATGAGGAAGAAATAGCTACTGCAATTTCAAGCCAGGAAGAGTCGAAGGTCGAGGGAGTGCTGCAAACCTCAACGAATTTCGAGGATAAAGATGAATTATCGATCGAGGATGCTAAGATCATAATCATCAAGCCCGAAGAAAGCCAGCATGATGTCGATGAAATGAGCAGAGAGCTGTGTAACATTCTCGACTCGACGGACTCTGTCGTCAAAATGCAGGAAACTGTCTTGAATAATTTAACACGAATAACAACGGTTAACGAGGCGTCATCGCTCAAAACTTTTGCTGAAGTCGTTGAGGAGGCTACGACGCAGGAAGAGTCGAAGCCCGAAGTGCCGACGTCAACTATGCCAGAAGAGCAAATGGACCAAGAAATCGTCATCAGTTCAGGATTGGAGCAGCCTCATGAACAGGTGTGCATCTATCTTTCTTAAGTGAATAATTTTGAATCCAATGGTGTACGTATATCATCATGTCGTTATTTTGTTGAATAATTTTTTAGGTAGTAGAGGAAGTGACTGAACATCAGGACCCTCAACTCAAAATTATTGTAACTCATCATGACCTCGAAGAAGCGCAAGTAGAAGAAGTGAAAATGGATTATGAAGGCTCTAATGTGGAAACAAGCCAAACTGAAGGCGTGGATGAAAGCGAGAACGTCGAAAGGTCAGAGGCTGAATTGTCTGAACTGAATACGCAAGTACTGTCGGACACGAATGACATATTTGAGGCATCTGTGACGGAAATGGAAGTAGACAAAAGCCAAGAACAGTCAAACGTTAACGAGTCGGTTATTGAATTGTCTGTTGCAAACGATACAATCAATTTGAACGAGACCACGGACAGTAGAGACAGTTTAGAAGATAAATTGTCGCAAATGGAAGGCTAAGCCGAAATGTGCTAAGCAAATAGTTTGTATTATAGATAAATAATGGATTGAATGAATTACAAGTTTCACCTTTACGAAATCGCATGATTCGTAAGTCGTATAAAAAAATAGGATCGGCTATTTTACTGACAGTTAAACAGTGGTGCATTTGCAGATTTTGCAAACTGATTTAAGTTTTTAGATCAACTATTCCTCGAAGAGAGGTGATGACTGTATCATTAACTCGTTTGGAACTTGCGTAATTTTTTTTTCCAATCTGTGAATTCTTTTTGTCTGTTTGACAAAGGCTTTTGTACTGTAATATTTCAAAAACGTTCGTGTTGCAAATCTGAACGCACGATCGCGTACACGCATTCCACAAATATCAACTGGATTGTGCGATTTAACGTAACATTTTTCGTCTTCTAGATTTAAGAAGAAAAAAGCTGGTGTTTTTTCGATTATCTACGCGCCAAATTTGTACACAAATCATTGAATTTTAATCATCTGCATTAAAAAATAGCTGATCCACCGAGACCTTGTACATAGCTGAACCATTCCCTTAAAAATAAATTTTATATAAAAATTTTTATCATTTATTATGTAATTCGTGAGCACACGTAAAATTTGACATTATAGATTAAAAGAATATTCATGTATAAGTAAGAGAATTATATTAAGATATAATGAAATTATAAATTTGGGAACAAATATATCATGTCACGATTGCTGTCGCGATTGTTGGATCTCAATTTTTCTTGCGATCTGTATGTTGAAATACATTCAGGAAAATAAATTTATATTAGTGTTTATAATACATTTATCTTTATTATTTGGATTTAATAAAGTTAGGCTTCTAAGATTTTTAATAGTTTTTATTTGATATGTAGACAAGAATAAAAAAGACATGAACTAATAAAAATACTTAACTCTAAGTAAAATTTTGTCAAGCATTGACTCTTATTATTCGTATATTTTTATTTCTTTTTTTTCATATAATAAAAATTTCTCTCTTTAAATTGCAGTTACTGTATGAAAAATTTGATAAAAAAGAAAAAGTAAATTTAAAAA